GAAAGATGGAAAAAATCTTCACCTTAAGATTTGGAAAGAAATGTTAGGAAAATTTGAAAATAACCCTCTTTTTAAAGAGGCTCTTCTGTTGCAACTTCCATTCAACATTATACTAAAGTTTCTAGTCAGGAAAGTCAAGATAAAGAAATAGAAGCTATACTGACAGGTCCTGGTGGCTGTGGTAGGGAGGTCCTCTCTAATGTGATCTCTCTCTCTCTCTCTCTCTCTCTCTCCCTCTTTGCTTCCTAGCCACAAGGCCGCGGGCTTATAACCAAGACTCTTTTCTAGATCCCAAGAATGAGCCACCACCATTTTGAACACAGCCCCTCCCCCTGCTTCAGAGGGACTTTCCTCTGCCACGAGCCTCAGATCTCAGCCTCCTGAGTACCTAAGATTACAGGCATGAGCTGGTGCCTGGCAGGAATGTTTTGTAACCTGGAATTTTTATTTGATTCTTCTATATAGTTTACACTTCTAGATATATTGTCATCCAAGTTTCTTCAGCTTTTTATAATTGTAATTTTTGTATCAAGATAAAATAACCACATACCTCAAACTTCATACATTCAAATCCTAGAACATGTTCATCATCTCCTAATGAAAGGTCATATCCGTTAGCAATTACTGTGTACCATATGCCTCCCCCTGCCACAAGCCCTTAGTAGCCACTAATCTATTTTATGTCTTTATGGATTTGTCAATTCTAGACATTTGAAGGAAATGAAATCATAAATATGTGGCATTTTGTATCTGGAATCATTCACTTAGGATAATGTTTTGAAGGCTGTATTCAAAATTATAACATGAATCAGTATATTTCATTCATTTGTGACTGAAGAATATTCCATTTTATGGATATACTATACTGATACAAACATCAGTTGAACGTTTGAGTTGTTCCCATTTGGGTGATTTTGTATGTGTGTGCTGGCACTTGGGCTTCAACTCATGGCCAAGGTTCTATCCCTGAGCTTTTTTGCTCAAGGCTGGAACTCTGCCACTTAATACAGCTACATTTGTGGCTTTCTGCTGGTTAATTGGGAGTAAGAATCTCACTGACTTTCCTGCCTGGGCTGGCTTACAAACTCGGATCTCAGCCTCCTGAGTAGGTAGGATAACAGGTGTGAGCCATGGGTGTGGGCTCTATTTACACTATTTTAAGTAGTACTACTATCCCTATTCATATGAGTTTTTGTTATGGACATGTTTTCATTTCTTTCTGGGATATACCTAGCAATAGAATTACAGAGCCATATGGTATATTGAACTTTTTTTGTGTGGGTGCTGGGGATCTAACTTAGTACTTCATGTATACCAGGCAAGTGCTCTATTACTAGTCCCTACATTCAACTGTATTTTTGTTATTTTTAAGTAGTTGTAAAAAGGAGTTTCAATTCAATATACTAATTTGAGCATGTAATGCACCTTGATCAATGCCAACTTTAATTTTTTTTGGGGGGGGTTCAGTAATGGGGCCTGAAATCTGGGCCTGGGCTCTGTTCCTCAGCTCTTCAGTTCAAGGCTAGCAATCTACCACTTGAGCCACAGTGCCACTTCTGACTTTTTCTGCTTATATGTGGTGCTGAGGAAACGAACCCAGGGCCTCATGCATGCAAGGCAAGCATTCTACCACTGAGCCAACTTCTCAGCCGCACAATGTCAACTTTTTTTCTTTTTTTGGGGGGGTCCGGTCGTGGGGCCTGAACTCTGGGTCTGGGCGCTGTCCCTCAGCTCTTCAGCTCTACCACTTGAGCCACAGCGTCACTTCCAGCTTTTTTCTTTTTGCTTATGTGGTGCTGAGGAATCGAACCCAGGGCCTTGAGCATGCAAGGCAAGCGCTCTACCACTGAGCCACCTTCCCAGCCCACAATGTCAACTTTTTAAGGAACTGTCAAAGCTGTTTTCCAAAGCAGGGTAATCACCATATTACATTCCCATGACTTCTGTATGAGGGACTAATTTTTCCATGTTCTGTTCAACCCTTTTAATTGTCTCTCTTAATGAAAGCCTTTTGCTTTTGTTCAATTGCCTTTGCCTGGTGCTGGAGAACCTAAGACCTTGTGAATGTGGAAAGCCTTTGTAATGAATGAGAAGTGCTATCTCCAGTGACATGCATTTTGCTAATGTTTATCTAATGAGGTTGAGCATTTTTGTGATTATTGGCCACTGTATTGGAGAAATGTTTGTTCATATCCTTTGCCCATTTAAAAGTAAGATAGTTTGTCGTTTTGCTGTCAAATTGTCTAGTACTTTGTAAATTCTATATACTAGACCCTTACCAAATGATTTTCAAGTATTTTCCCACTCTTTTGGTTTCTTACTGTATAGACAACATTCTTTGAGGTGATATATATGTATATATACCATACATATGTACATACATAAATATATATTTAGTTTTATATTTGATTTCCTAGTTGCTGGTGCTGTGTCATTTCTAAAGGAGCATTTCCTAATCCATAGTCACAATGAGTTCTATCTTTTAAGTCTTATAGTTGTCAAACTATTATCTATTTCTGTATATTTTGTATGATAGGGGCCCTATTTCATACCTTTGTGTGTGAGAATCCCATATCCAGTTAACATTTGTAAAAAACATTCTTTCCCCCACTAAATTGTCTTGGCCCTATTTTAGTTTATTCTGGACTCCCAAGTCTATTTAAATGTCGACTTTTACACCAGTGTATCACAATCTTGAGTACAATAACAATGTAGTAACATTTGGTATTGAAAAGTGGGAATATGTCACCACTGTTCTTTGTTAATTTTGTATTTTATTGTAAAGTGCTGTACAGAGGGGTTACAGTTACATGAGTAAGGTAATGAGTACATTTCTTGTCGAGCATTGTTACCCCTTCCCTTGTTGTCCTTCCACTGTTCCTTCCTTCCCCCACCTCCTTCCCTCCCCCTCCCAAAGTTGTAAAGTTCATTTCTAATATACTGTCTTGTAGGTATCATTGTTGCAATGGGTCATCCTGTGTCCTTGCTTCAGCATTTTGTTATTCCCCTTCCCCTCACCAAATTAGACAAGATGCAGGGTACCAAAATCAAGTACAGTGACAACAGGGAATGTACCATGGGGGAAGAATGTACAAAGGAAACAAAAAAAATCACATAGTACATTTAAAACAACAACAAAGAAAGAACTCTTGTATCTATATCTTGGGGTTCATTTCACTTAGCATCATCTTATATGGTCATATATACATAGTTTTTGAGATGTTCTGCTCATCTGATAAAATTATCCTAGATGTACAATAATTACTGCAAATAAGGGAAGCCATGGGACCTGTGTTTCCTTGGGTCTGGCTTACTTCACTTAGTATGATTTTTCCAAGTCTTTCCATTTCCTAACAAATGGGGTGGTGTCATTTTTGCTAATGGAAACATAGAATTCTAGTGATTTTATATATATATATATATATACATATATATATATATATATACACACAGTGTGTGTGTGTGTGTGTGTGTGTGTGCGCGCGCGCGTGTGTGTGTTTCTTGATCCATTCATCTACTGAGTGGCATCTGGGTTGGTTCCATATCTTAGGTATGATGAATAATGCTGCAATAAACAGTTGTGCTGGTAGCTTTAGTATGGTCTTGTTTGTGATCATTTAGGTAAATGCCCAAAAGTGGGATTGCTGGGTCATAGGGGAGCTCTATGTGTAGTCTTTTGAGGAGCCTCCATACTTCTTTCCAGAATGGTTGAACAAGTTTAACAGAAAACTGTTCTTTTTCAAGTGCTGGAGGCTTTTTGCTGGTTCATTGGAGATAAGAGTCTCACCAATTTTTCCTGCTTTGGCTTGATTAGAAACTCTGTCCCTCAGATCTCAGCCTGCTGAATAGCTAAGATTACAGATGTAAGCCACCTGCAGCCATCCCCTCCCACCCTTTTAAACAATGAATTATTTACATATAAACACCCAAACATACAAAACAGACACCCTGTGGGTTGAGGTTGAGGTAGGGATCTAGAGCCTTTTTACTCCCCAAGGCAGCAGTACTTGGAACAATCATTAGCAAAGATTCCTAATGCTTCTTCCTATGCTGATCTTCTATTGACCTAGAAATGTACCAGTAACCTTAGAAGTGAAACCTCATCGTCTGTGTATATTTGAATTTAGGACCTCACACTAGGTAGGCAGGTGTTTTTAACTCTGGGCTACATCTCCAGGCCTGATTTTGCTGGTTAACACATTGGAATTATCAGCTATGTTGCTGCCTGGACTCCCCTACATGCAAGTAAAATTTGACCTGACAGTGTTGTCTGCATGTTAGAAACTTTAAAAAAAATTAATGTGTGAGACATCAATCATTTAAAGGATTGTAACATTTGGTAGACATATTTGGGAGTCACTGCATCAAAAGATTGTTGTGAGAACTTAAAGAGTATGTGATTTAACTTTTCCACCAAGAAAAGAACTGCCAAGTGAAGGGTACCATGTCCGGGACAACCTAAGAAGACTTACCTGATTCTCAGTTTCTTCATTTAAAAGATGAGGATAACTATATCTAGCCTACAGAACTGCCATGTTTTTTTGTTGTTGTTGTTTTTAATTTTTGTGCCTGGGTAACAGAGTCTCTAGTTCCCAATACCAATCTAAGAGCACCACATAGTTAATGAAGAGCCCATAACACACTAGAAAAGTTAGCATGCAGCCACAGAAAGGGCAGTGTCTACTGTGACAATTCTATAATGGGGCTATCCTGCTTTGTTGTTTTTTTAAGTCTAAGATGGGGATTCGAACTCAGTACCTGACACTGTCACTCATTAGCTAGTGCTCTATCCACTGAGCGACACTGCCAACTCCTATCCTGCTTTCTTTTGAACTTATTCCCACCTGTTAAAATGGAGTAGCTCTACCCTTTCTCTCCATAGAGATAAAGTGCGGGAGAAGCAAATCAAGGATTCCAACGTGGTCTAAAGAGAGGTGATTACAATAAAATGCCATATAGCCACCTACCTATGCCACAGGGAAAAAAATTCGAGTCACAGCGAAGTCTTCCTAAATTTTATTGGCACTGAAATAGAACATGGGTTGAGCAAAAACCCCTCCAAAACAATTTTTTAAACCCAAAAATACACACAAAAAACCTGAATATAAAATCTAACTTTTCTCCCCAACCTCCCTGGGGGTGGGTTACTGCCCTTAAGGGAGCTAGGTTGCCCCACAATTACAGGTTTTAATTTAGCTGATACAGGGCACATCACCAAGTAAGTGTCAATATAATTCACAGCAATGCATACAAGACTCCCCAAGGTTAGTGGTGATGGGAGGGAGAAGAGGGTTGAGGGAACTTCTGGGTAGGAACACTGCATAGAAGAAAAGGATAGTCTGAGGGGACTGAACCCTGGGGAGAAGGCAAACAGAAACAATACAACCAAATACTAAGTACTTAAAAAAACTGGACTGCATGACCTATAGTGACAGGTAACATCACTAATACTGAAAGCTTCTTAATGTGTCTGGCAAAATATCCTTTCATAATATAGTATATGCTTCTGAGGTGTGGAGGGTAAGTAAAGGAATGAGGCCAAAAAAATGATCCTGCCTCAAGACTAATTTCTAATAGCGCATTAGCAAGAAAGGCAGAAATCAATATTGAGTTAGATATCATTACAATATATAATACTGGTAGAAAGAAAAAGAGCACACATGAAATGGGAGTGGGGAAAGGATGCTCCTGGGTTGAGAGAAAGATGGAGGTGTGGAAGGGACCAGGCCAGAATCCCCAGAAGCTCTCTGATATATAGCTCCAAGGGACAACACAGCTGGTGACAAGACCTGGGTTAGAGGTTTGTCAGAGGCAGGGCCCAGTTACTACCTTGGACCTGGGGGTGATGGACAGGGAATATTGGGCACCTGAGAGGGTCGAGTAGTAAACTGTGGGACCAGAGGCAAGAGCTATTCTCACTACACACAGCTTCTCTTACCCACTCCCCAATAAAGCTTAATGGCCTCAAGATCTAGGACTTACCATACCAAGGCCCACACAAGTATGAAGCAGGAGCTGTAGCCCAAGTAGCTCTGATGGGAGAAGTGGCCTAGAACACCTAGCAGGAAAATACTGAAGCCAAGCATGAACATTTCCTCCTTTTTGGCAAGAGCTGTGGGCAAGGCTTGCTGAGCTTTGGAGTACTTATCTCTATTCCAGGTCTAGGAGATTTAGGAATTGGAAGGGACAAGAACAAATCTAGAGAAGGAAGCAGGGACCTGGAATTTTAAAAAAAGGTATACTTGTGCCCAGATAGTTCATTTGAGACAAGCCTAGGCACCCACAAGGCAGAGGTGCAGGATCTCTTACCAAGCCCTAACCGAACAGAGGGCCAATGGCCTTCTAGGATATTATTGAAACCTCTTGAAGGCACCATCTCTCCCATCCCACCCTGGGAAGAAACTGAGTCCCTTAATTCAGAGAGAAGGCTTATTGGGACTGAGCTTATAACAGGCTCAATCTGGGAGGTAGAAACAAGAATGACTAAAAATGTATTTATCCTCCAATCATTATAAAGCCTACATCAACTCTTAAAGGGATGGGCAGTGGGAGGCTAAATCCTAGGTCAGTTGACATACTAGAGAAGATAGACAGGGCTTTGTCACCCTTCCCTAAACCCTGTAATACCTGGATCTTGCAAATCACAGGACTTGATGGGGGAAGGCAGTGATTGGCACAGGAGAAGGAATCTAGCTTTCAACCCATTCCACACTTAACCCCTACAAGAACCATGTAAGTGTGGGGGGGTATATTTGCCAAATCAAGTGAAAAGTACATCTGAATTGGGGAAGAGATCTATTCTAATAAGCTAGATTAAATGGGACAAAGAAGGAAAAGTGGGACCCAGTGACACCATAGTAGGCCATTTGTCTACCCAGGTAAGCAGGGGATAAGGGGGCTACGTTTGGTCCCATGGCTGCACTGAATGCTTGGCATGATTCCAGGGTTGCTTTAGTTAGTGGCTCCAGCACAGTGAGTTAGGCAAAGGTACAAGGAGTATAGGGGGAAAGATGAAGGGAGGAGGGGTCCCTAGAGACTGGGCAAGTACCCATTACATGGACTCAAATTCATCAATGCGCTGCTTGGTATTGCCCTGCCGGATCTGGCGCAGGGTCTTGTATTTGTCTCGTCCAAGTCGCATGTTCTCAGCATGGATCATGTCATTGGCAGTCTTCTTGGACTCATCACGGGCATTGGCCAGCTCGGAGGTGAGGGCCTGTGGGAATAAAAGGGGATGCAAGGGTCAGTGGTGTCCTCTCATTTCAACTCTTAAGTGTTTCCTACTCCTTTTCTCTCTCCCATACGCACACAGATGCACACATAAGCACTTAGGGCACCAGTTGGATAATGAGTAGGAATTCTGTCTGACAGATACTTTCTGAATGGAACAGGTATGTATATCAGGAGAAAGTGGAAAGTAGTGAAGAGAGAAAATTTCCCAAAAAACAAAGCAGTAAGCTAGAGTCTGATCAATTCAAGTTTCATATAAATGAGGCTCAGATTCCTGGACAGCTCTAAGATAGACTCCTCTGCCAATCCTCATCCACGCTGGTCTAGGACATGCCAAGGGCTCTAAATTCATTGCAATGTCTCCTTGATATTTGGGCCCCTCATGGATACCTTCAGATGCTTCTGCACACGCTCGTTCTTCTCTGCCTCAGTGGTCCGTTCCTCCTCACTGCGGTCCTTGGCCATGGCATCAGCCCGCAGATCAGCACTGGCCTCTGCCCCATTCTCATCCTGTTCGTCCTGCTCATTCTCAGCAGGCTCCGCCACATGAGGTGTACTCATGGCAGTCTTCAGCTCCGCACGGGTTTTCTCCAAGTCCTCTTGTACCATCTGAGCCTGTCCAGTGACAGAGAGAAGGACCAGCAGTCAGACCAGGTCACTTGTGGCAGCCTGTGCATGCCTAGAACAACTTGGTAAGAGGAAAGTCACCAGATGATAAAAATCATTTCATCTGCCGAATCCTTAATTTCTTCACTTGGGAAATAGGAGCAATTGTAACAAATTCCCAGGGGCACTGGGAAATTTTAGAAAGTATTTCAGAAAACCTGAGCACTTTTCTCCCATAGTGCCTGTTGTCAAAGAATGCTGGAAGTACCTGGGTACTTGTGGCCCACACCTGTAATCCTAACTACACAGGAGACTGAGATCTGAGGATTGCACTTAGAAGCCAGCTGGGATAGAAAATTTCAAGCACCAGGACTGGCACCAAAAATAGAAGATTGGAAGCAGGAGGGATCCAAGCTCTAAGTAAAGGAACTGGAACATATGTATGAAGTACTCCTCTTCGCAATGCTTTGTTCTGGGTATTGAGATTACCTTTTGCTGCCATTCCACAGCCTCACTTTCCTTCTTTTGTCGGGCCATTTCCAGCTGAGAAATGCGAGCTGTCAGCTCTGACATTTCTGAAGCCTGTGGAAAAATTGTGAACCTGTAAGAGCAAGGTCTTGGTCTTCATTGTCCAGGTGTCCATACCCCAGTTCCCCTGAAGAACCAGTAAGGGACCTGCTGCTGCCCTGGTCTGGTAACAAATCTCCATTCCAGTCCCATCTTCCACACATACTACTTTTTTTCTAAGTTATAGCTCCCTGCCTGGACTATAGGACTCCTGAAGACAATGTCACTTCTCTATCCCTTATTCTTGTCCCTATCCCAAGTATGCATTCAGATGTAGTCTCAAGAAAGCTTTAGAGTGGCATTGATCAAGAAGCATTGCATTCAATCTGACATGTTGCATTGAAGCTCTTTCGTACAACTACTTAAAGGTAAATTAATTAATTGAGTAAATAATTAATGCAGGCTTTTTAGACTGCAGCTTGGAGTGGCAGACATTTCCCTACTATCTGAGGATGCAGAGAACTTCACTAAGACTCTTCTCAGGACAAGTACAAGAAAAAACACTCAAGCATCACAAGGCACTCTGAACAGGAGGAAAAGCTTATTCATTCCCTTATACTTTGGACCAGTTGCCCATGACAACTTCTTCCTGAGAGATAGTCTAGTTCTCTCTAGTCCCACCCAAAACAGGACAAAGGTAGAGCATGTCAAGGAATTAGATGTCAAGCATAGGTAGCTAACATCTGTAACCCTAGCTACTCTGGAGGCTAAGATCTGCGGATTGAGGTCTCAAGCCAGCCTAGGCAGGAAAGTCTATGAGACTCATCTCCAATTAACCAGCAAAAAGCCATAAGTATAGTTGTGCCTCAAATTGTAGAATACTAGCCTTAAGCAAAAAATCGAACTGAGAGCAAAAAGCTGTGATTTCAAACCGTAGTACAAGGGAAAAAAATAACAGAAAAAGATATTGGGACCATAAGTTTTTAACTTCTGAATCAAAAAACACTTGGAATGTATGAGTACTCATCCTAGCCCCTCTCCCTCAAATACATGGGCACATGGTTTTACATATAGTTTCTTTCAAATGCAGACAGAAAGGGGATTTCTAATCCTTGTCTAATCACAAGTGTGTGACCTTTGGCAAGTCTTTTAACCTCTCTTAGATCTAATTTCCTTATCCGTGCATGAGTTTTATGTGGGTGTTAATATCATAGTCACTAGAAAAAATTAGAATAGTAAGAAAAGGGAATGTGCCTAGCCTATACCATAGTAGGTACTCAATTAACTGTGAGTCTGTTTCTTTCCTCCTTCCCTTTCCTTTGCCAGGTTACCGGTTAAGATATCCAAGGGTTAGGAAAATGAATGGAAGCAGGGCACCAGTGGCTCATATCTGTAATCCTGGCTACTGGAGACTGAGATCTGATGATCAAGGTTTAAAGCAAGTCTGGGCAGAAATGTCTATGAGACTCTCATCTACAATAACTAACAGAATGCTGGAAGTGGAAGTGTGACTCAGTGGTAAAATAACAGTCATAAGCAAAAAAAGCTAAGTAACAGCATGAGGCCCTGAACTGAAGTCCTAATACCAGCACAAAAGAAAAACAAATGAAAGCTAATGGTTAGAAAAGACTGTTGGAAAAAGTTGCTGGACCATCCTGAGCTGCTCAACTTGTCTCTACATGAGCTATTTTTTTTAATTTTTTATCTTTAAGTAGTTGTACAAAGAAGTTCCCATTCTACAAAACAGTATATGAATACAAAGCGTCTGATAACATTGTCACCCATTGCTCCTAACCTACCCCTTCTCTCACTTTTCTTTTCTTCTTTTTTTAAAATTGATATTAGGTGATTACATAAATTTCACATATTTCACAGTATTGTGGAATAGTGATACTTAAAGTCACAAACATTTTAACCTTCACAAGGCAAATTGTCATTATCATCATATATAAAGTTTGTGAATCCTATGAACTTTGACAATACAATTATTTCTTCCACATCAGGTGTTATTTACATTTCTTTCCTTTTGCTTAGTGTAAGCTTTTCCCTCTTTCCCTCTCATTCCTCCCTTCCCATTGCTGTCTTTGGGTTGCTTAGTTCATTTTCATCTATGTCCAGTGCAGCTGATGGGCCCTTCTGTTGTTACATGAGCTATTTAGATAAGACCTACTGGTAAGAATCAGCCTTGTAGGCAGAGGGAGTTAGAAGTAGATTTGGCTAACAAGAGAGAAAACGCAAGTCTCACAACCCAGCCTGCTGTGCAGTTTTACCAACTGTTCCTGGGTTTTCTTCTGGTCCCGGGAGGCCTGAAGCAGGGCCTCCTTGGCCTCTTCAGCTTCCTGACGTTCCTTTGCCAGCTTTTCGGCCTCACTCTGAGCACGCTTCCGTTCCTGCTCAAGTTCCAGAGCCCTACGGGTCTGTTCTTCCAGTTCTGGGCAGAAAAAAAGAAGGGAGAAAGCAATGAAGGTCACAGAGATGAAGATAGCTCATTAGCTTCCTTCCCAGGAAGGAACTGTCTACCTCAAGGCACAGCTGGCAGAAGGCACTGAGAATGCTTCTTGCCCCACCTCCCTGATTTAGTCTGTGGCCCCAGTTGTACTACTCTATAATCTGGGTAAAGCAGAGTACAGCCAGCCTTCATGGTGACACTAAGCCTCACCTTGCTGAGCTTTCTTAGTCTGTTCCTCAATCTGCTTCAGCCTCTCCATCAGTTCTTCCTTCTCCCGTTCAATCTTCTCCTTTTCCTTTTCTGCCATCTCACGCTTCTTCTTCTCATTTTCCAGCAGAGCACTGGGGGAAGGAATGGAAGAGGTGAATAGGACAGCAAGGATGCCCTGAGTCTGGAGATTTCCTTGCCCTAGGTCCTTTGGCACCTACCATTCCAACACACCCAGAGCTTCTGAGTTTGGGCCACTGTCCATTTGCTCCACATAGTCTTGCCCTTGCAATAGAGCCCTAAATCAGCTGCTCTACTGTGGATCCAATCTGTTTGATCTTAGTCAGAAGACCCAAACAAGAACTCTGGTTCTTCAAGTAAACCACTGGGTGACCTTAGTTATCTTACTACTTTGCCTTCGTTTTCAGGTTCTCTATCTGTAAAGTGGCCCTATGGGACCCTGACAAATTTTAGCTTTGCAGTCAGATGCCATGCTCAAATCTGGAGAGTAAACCTACCTTTGCCTGCTCTAAATCTCTAGATTCCTTTCTTCCCGAGTTTACTGCATATCTGTAATAAGCATTTGCTTATTCTTACTCTTAGAAAGTCCTCTAACCCTTAGCTACATGTCTTCCCCCCCTCCATGAGCCTTCAGAATATTTGGCATACCCTCCTCTCATCTCTTTCTGTTGTTTTTCTGCATAGTACTTTCTTTGGTGTCAGTCCTGGGGATTGAACTCAGAAACTAGGCACTGCCCCTAAGCTTGTTTTTTTGCTCAAAGCTAGCATTCTACTACTTGAGCCACAGCTTCACTTCCAGCTTTTTTGGTAGTTCATTGTAGATAAGTCTCAAGACTGCTGCCCAAACCATCACCTTCAGATCTCAGCCACTTAATTAGCTAGGATTACAGGTGTGAGCTACAGGGACAGGGCTATATCACACTTGTTTGTATGTGTATGCCAGTATGTAGGCTTGAACTCAGGGCTTGCATGCTGCCCCTGAGCTTTCTTCCTCAAGGCTAAAACTCTATCACTTGAGACACAGCTCTACTTCTGGCTTTTTGTTAGCAAATTGGAGATTAATGTCTCACAGACTTTCTTGCTTAGGCTGGATGTAAACTGAGATTTTCAGATCTCAGCCTCCTGAGCAGCTAGGATGATGGCATGAGCTACTAGCATCTGGCTACATAGCACATTTTACTCATCTCATAGATGACACAATTTGCTTAATTATTATATTTGTGTCTGATCAATAGAATGATAGCTTCATGAGAATGGGAATTTTTTTGTTGGTCATAGGGCTTGAACTCTGGGCCTGAGTGCTGTCCCTAAGCTCTTCAACTCAAGGCTAGTGCTCTACCACTTGAGCCACAGCATCACTTCTGGTTTTCTGGTGGTTTGTTGGAAATAAGAGTTTCACAGCTTTTCCTGCCTCAGCTGGCTTTGAACTGCGATCCTCAGATCTCAGCCTCCTGAGTAGCTAGGATTAAAGGCATGAGCCACCAGCACCCAGCTGAGAATGGGGATATTTTTTGTCATTTTTTTCACTGCTCAATAAACATGAAGTGACTAAATGGAACAGTCCTGTGTTTGTGTGCATACATGTGCATGAGTGTTATGTATTTCCTCTCTTCTTCCTATGAGATTGTGAGGCCTTAGAGGACATGTTCCTGCCAGATGCTGCTCTGTGAACCACTCTCCAATTTTGGTAATTTTTTTTCTTTGCTGGTAATGGGATTTGAATTTAAAGCTTTACTCTCTCACTTGGTTTGCTTGTTCACATCTTGTATTCTAACATCTGAGCCATGCCTCCAGCTTGACTTTTTACTGGTTAATTGGAGATGGAGTCTCAACTTTTGTGCCTAGATTGACTTCAAACTATAATTCACCAGGTCTCACATTCCTAATTAGCTAGGATTGCTGGCATGGACTACCAGCACCTGGCTAGACTTTTTTTTTTTCATAACAAATGTGAACTTTAATGTCTACATTTTCATTTGAAGTTATTTTCAGCTTACTAAACTAGAAGTTTTCTGAGGTTCCAAACAGTTTGGAACAGAATACACACTAGAGTAGCGCTACTTTAATGATAGCCTGCATAGAAATAACCAGGAATCTTCTCAAATAGTTCATTAAGTGAAGTTCACATAATATAAAATCACTGCCCATTTACTACATTCACAATGTTGTATTGCCATTTTTTTCTATTTCCAAAGTATGTTTACCATGCCAAAGTAAAACCCCATATTCATTCATCAGTCACCCTTTCTATCCATCCCCCACCCCAGGCTCTGACAACCACCAAACTACATTCCATTTCTACCCATTTTTCTATTCTAGATTATTTCATATAAATGGCATCACACAATATTTAACCATTTTGTGTGACTGCTTTCACTAGGGTAGTGCTTTAGAGAGGTACATCCACCTGTAGTATATATGGCTAAATGATATTCTGCTATGGTTTAGATATGTCTGTCTCTCAAAGCTTTAGTACTAGAAGTTCAGCCTTCAATGTAATGGCATTGAGATGTAGTGAAACCTTTATGAGGCGGAACTTGGTTTGAGGTGATTAGGGTATTAGGAACTACCCTCAAAAGAGATTAATGCCTGTGCAGAAGGAATGTGGTAGGTCCCTCAGAACTGAATTTGTATTTGTGAGAGTAGGTTGGTATAAGTGCGACTGGTACTACCCCTGAGTCCCACATGTGCTCCTCTCCTGTGCACATGGCCCTGCTATGTGATGTTCTCTGACACATTATCAAACAGTACAGGGCTCTCACCAAATGTAGCTGCCCAATATTGGACTTCTCAACCTTCCAAAACATGTGTCAAAATAATTTTTTATGCCAGTTCTAAGGCTTGAACTCAGTGCCTAGGCACTGTCCCTCAGCTTCTTTTGCTTAGGGCTAGTGTTTTACCATTTGAGCCACAGCTCCACTTCTGGATTTTTTGGTGGCTAACTAGAGATAAAGAGGCTCACAGGCTTTCCTGCCCAAGCTGGCTTCGAACCATAATCCTCAGATTTCAGCCTTGTAAGTACCTAGGATTAGAGGTGTGAATCTCTAGCACGCTGTAAATTTTTTTTTCTTTATAAAACTCTCAGCCTCGGGGCTGGGAAGGTGGCTCAGTGGTAGAGCACTTGCCTTGCATGCCTGAGGCCCTGGGTTCAATTCCTCAGCACCACATAAGCAAAAAGAAAAAAGCTAGAAGTGGCGCTGTGGCTCAAGTGGTGGAACACTAGCCTTGAGCTGAAGGACAGCACCCAGGCCCAGAGTTCAGGCCCCACGACCTTACCAAAAAAAAAAAAAAAAAAAACTCTCAGCCTCAGGTATGCTTTAGCAAGACAAAATGGATTAACACATATTCCACTGCATATATTTATAATGTTTTATTCACTGATATATTGGTAGACATTTGGACTATTTCTACCTTTTAGTGATTGTGAATAGTGCTACTATGAATGCATGTGTGCATATATTTCTTTAAATGCCCATTTTAACTCTGTTGCTACTCAGGAGTAGAAATACAGGATTATATAGTAGAGTAATTCAATGCTGACCTTCTTGAGAATTTGTCAAAAATTTCCCACAACTTGTCATTCCTATTAGCAAAAACCTGGATTCCAATTTCTCCACAACGTCATTAGCCATTTGTTATTAGTTTTATCCATATTAATGAATGTGAAGTGGTATCTCATTATTATTTGCATTTCTCTAATGACTAAAGATATTTTCCTGTGCCTATTGGGTACCTGAAGACACAATTACCTCTATCCTTTGTGTGTTTAGGGTGAGGGGTTACTGGGGCTTGAACTCAGACTGGACACCTTACCTTACCTTGTTTGCTCAAGACTGGGGCTATACCTCTTGAGCCACATCCCTACTTCTGATTTTTTGCTGATTAATTGGAGATGAGTCTCTCAGATTGTCCAAATGTGCTGGCTTCTAACCTGGATCCTCAGATCTCTGCCTCTTTACTAGGATTATAGCTGCAAGCCATTGATAATTGGCTTCACTTGGGATTTTGAGATGCATGTTCTCATCAGCAGGTCTGGGCTAGGGTCTCCAATTTTGCCTTTCTAGCAAATTCCCAAGTTGATGCTGAGATGTGCTGAGCCTCAAATTATATTTTGAATAACAAGGACTGTGGGCTTTGTAAAATTGTGAAGGCTCTGCCCATTGCTGCTTAAAAAACCTTGCAGAATACAGACTCAAATGCATATGAAGCCCTCACGTGCCACAAATGTGCATGGAATCTCACTGGCACAACAATTGCATGAGAACATAGATAAGGGGAAATTATTACAAAATTCTCTCCTTCAGGCAAGCCTATGAATTTCTATGCTTCTCATGGCTGCTTCTCAGGAATGAGTATGCAATGCATGCCTGGTGCCTTTGAGAAGCTGGCTTATCCCAACACTGTCCCCATTCCAGCTCTGTAAGACCTACCGCTCCATCTGTTTCTGGTGCTTCTCCTCCCGGGCCTGTGCCTTCATCTGCTGCACCTCGATGGTGTCGGGCTTGCGACGGCGCATGTACAGTTCATGGTTCCCCATACAAAGGGCCAAGATCCGCTTGTTAATTCGCAGCCGAGGAGCATAGAAGACAAAGTCCTGGAGACAAAATAGTAGTCAAAATGAGTTTGGAGGAAGAAGAGAGCTTCTACCTTCAGACAAATTAAATTCAATCATGCCTGTAATCCTAGCTACTTAGGAGGCTGAGATATAAGGATCAGCTGGGAGAGACAAATCCCTGAGCTTATTATCTCCAGCAAAATGCCAAAAGTTGAGCTGTGGCTCAAGTGATAGAGCACCAGCCTTGAGCCAAAAAGCTTAGGGAGAGCACCCAGGATATGTGTTCAAGCCCCAGTACCATTACAAGATAAAGAAGTATTATAAAGATCATTTATGCGAAGAACAAGCTAGCAGTAGGACTCACACTAGAATCCAGTGCTCTTTCTACCAAACTACAATTTCTTTCAATCTTTACTTACAAAAACTCTTCTACAATACTGTCAATTACAATGAATCAATTTCCTTCTCTGCTAACTAGAGATATGTCTGAGTCTCAAAGGACCTCTTTTAGAAGCCAAAAAACCCTAGAAAAATACCCTAATGGGTATTAAGTATGGATATTAACCCCTCTGGATGTCTGGACTGGTCCTGGAGTCTTGGAAAAAGTATATCCTAGACCTAGCCCCTTGTGTCATTTTTTTTGGAACAAGGCAGACTGTAAACGCACAGATGAATATATAAATCCCCTAAATACTGATTGTCCTAGTTGTTGTTTGTTAAATAAGGCCTTCATCTCAGCTGGCTTTCTTACTTACCTTTTTCTGACGACAGTTGAGCACAGCAGCAATAAAAAAAAAAACACGTAAGAAAATCCAGTGAGTTTGAGTTTCAAACTTCAAATAGCATTGGACCAAGGTCACCAGCTGATAAGCTAGCCACCATCTCCTCTGCCAATGAATGCAAACTTCTTTCATCTCACACAGCTTTAGGTAGAGTGGAAGAAGCACAGGGTCTCAAGGTCAAATGACCTAGGTATAAATACTAGTTGTATGACCCTGAAGAAATCAAAATCACTCCATCTTTTTGAACCTCAGTTTCATCACTGCAGTAGGTATGATGTTAGGTATGCTGTTAAATACTTGCCCATGTAGTTGAAGCTTTAAGGACATAACACAGAAAATACTATCAAGCATGGCAGCAGGGGCTCATGCCTGTAATCGTAGCTACTCAGGAAGCTAAGATTTGAGGATTGTGGTTCAAAGCCAGCCTAGGTAGAAAAGTCCATGAATCTCTTATCTCCAACTAAGCACAAAAAAAAATTCTGAAAGTGGAACTGTCGCCCAAGTGGTAGAGTACTAACTTTGAGTGGAAAAGCTCAGGGACACTGCTCAGGCCCTGAGTTCAAGCCCCAGGATCAACACAAAAAAAAAGAGAAAGAGAGAAAGAGAGGAAGAGAGGAAGGAAGGAAGGAAGAAAGGGAGGGAGGGAGGCAGGTAGGGAGGGAGGGAGGGAGGGTGGGAGGGATGAAGAAAATACCTACAAAAGGGAAGGACATCTCAGGGCCAAAGAAGACTGAATCTTCATGAAATGGATCAGGCTCAGTTAATATGGCCACTGGTTCTTGTTGGATACAAAGTACATGAGGAGAGGAACTTCATTTTACATGTCTAACTTAGCCTCAAAAATACTGTCAACTGCAGGAAAGCTGGTGTGAAGTTGGGTGAGCATGTGAACAGGACTAGACTCAAAGCATTTTCTTCATCTTAGGGTGGTTTTTCTGGAGAAAAATCTAAGAGTGCTACAGTAAAACTATGAAAAAGAATTAAGTGTGGATGACTATCTTTGGATGTGGACTTTTCCTGGCTTTGCCCTTTTTCCACAATTATAGACCACACTTGCCCCAGTATTCTAATCGATAATTCACTTGTCCCCCAAAGACAGGGATTGTGAATTTGAGTTCGACTTGGGGTAATATGCCAGCTCTCAGTTTTAGAGGTCCTAATAGTGGGTCAACACACACACACACACACACACACAACACACACACCAAATACACAAGCTCTCCACCTTCTGGGGCTCAGGAACTGGAAAAGTGAGGTGTATTCTCTTTCTACCACAGTGCTTACTCAGAGCAGTAAATAGTACTGGCTAAGGAGCAGCACTTTGGACTTCTTATGGTGTTCACTATCCACAAAGGGAGATAGGATAGCACTTGAGAGACAGATGCAGAAGGCACAGGTAACAAGGTGCCTCTTGGCTATTTCTTAGTATTGCTATCCCCTTCTAACTGTCTCCATTTGTGTACCCTGTCCAAATGCATATGCACACCTAAGTAGATGTTCTCACATTGCAGTAAAAGAGGGACAGATATAATGACATGATTGCCCCTAGCATATCCAAGCTTTGGCAAAGAACCTATCAGGGTCACTCACCGGGGCTTTTTTGTCAATAGGCTTGATGACAAATTTCTTATCATTGAAAGAGATGTTCCTAATTTCACTCCAGGGGAAGCCAATCTTGGGAGTCAGTCTGTACAAATGGAAACCAACAGCATTAGAACAAAGGCAAGATGAGACAGACAGAGCTGTTGCCTGACTCGTATCCTTTCATTGCTAGCTCAGCTATCACATGCCATCAAGTCAATTTCCAATACTGAGGTTTTACAAAGGACTTCCTAATACCACAATCAACACCTTAATCCTGTTCCAATCTCCACGATTCATTTTGTTCCATTTTTAGTTGAGGCATGGATCTTAAAATAGTCCTTCAGCCCTATTTAACTGAGATTCTCCTATCAAATATTATAAAGGTTGGAGTCCAGAATTCAGAATTATGTGAAACCATAATCTACTGATCCCCATCCTCACCAAGGACATACCAAATGTAAAAAACAATCAAGTGAGATAAAACTACAATAAAATTATAAGCACAAAACCACTTAATGATTACATGGAACTTGAACTTCAAATCTTGATGAGGCAAATTCTAGGCCAGAACTGCACCCTAAAAATGCAGTAAAAATTACATATATGACTTTTTAATTTTTTTCTAACCTATATGAAAATAAGTAAAAAAAAATAAACAGGTAGAATTGGATAAACACTTTAGGCCAATACAGACCAATACTATCATCAGAATATGTAAATATTTTCTTAAAACACTGAGACATTTAATATTCTGTTTATAGTTTAGATCTTAAACATTTCCCCAAAATTCATGTGGCTTGGGCGCTAGCTAATGGTATTATTGTAAGGTAGTAGAAACCTTAGGGCAGAGCCTAGCTAGAGCTAGAGGAAGTAGGTCATTGGGGTTATACTCTTGGGTCACCATCCCCATTCTTCAGCTCTACTTCCTGGCTTCCATGAAAGGAGCAGCTTTACTCTGTCACATGCCACAAGCTCAAAGGAATTACACCAAGAAACCATGGACTGATACCTCTGAAACTGTGAACCAAAATAAATCTTTCTTCCTTTAGGCTGATTCCTCTTGACATTTTTGTCACTGACAAAACACATTTAATTGTTCACATTAGGTCATTAAAGTGGTGTGTATTCCGTAACGTGCTTACAACATCTTTCAATTGAAAGTAGCCACATTTCAAGTGTTCAATAGCCACATGTGGTCAGTGGCTACAACAGTGTACAGGATTTAGATGCATACGGGATGTTATAAAATCATCAGGCCTAGCTTACATTAAGTAGAAAAGACTAAAGTCTGTATCCAAAAGGATGAACCCTATATATCAGAGCAATTCAAACTAAAAGAGGTTTAAGGGATACCTGTCATTCTGCTCATAGATGTTGAGACCCAGGGCATCGACACCCAGCCACAGCTCTGAGCCTTTCTTATTCTTGATGCTGAAATAATTCACACCATACATCTCCAGATCTTGGGCAATCTTCAGATATTCCAAGACAGCATCCTCCCTAAATGACACAGAGTAGGGAAGGGCATGTCACAGAAGGAAGCCTCTTAGTCACTCAAGGAGACAGAGAAGCCAACTTGTTCTGTGTTTCTGATACCGTCAGGCATGGGGAAGGAGATAGAAGTTGATGTCAGAGAACAGAGAACTTACATGATTTTTGTTAAGTAAATTTATAGTTAAAAACCTCATATCTGAGGATCCCAATAAGGAGGAAGGCTTTGATGGCCTCTGACATGTCAATTGTCATTCAAGCTATTTTCTTCTCCTCATTCATTATGAAAACCTCTTATTTTGGTGCCAGTTCTCGGGCTTGAACTCAGGGCCTGGGTGCTGTCCTTGAGCTTCTTTTGTTCAAGAATAGTGCTCTACTACTTGAGCCACAGCACCACTTCTGTGAAAGCCTCTTTTATACAAGCACCTTTATCTAAATTCTTATCAGAGCTTAGAGAGTATTGTTGGGAAAAATGATGAGGTTTATTCCTCAACTAGAAAAAAAAATTCTTTGCAATGTTCAGAGATCTCCTTTCCCCATTCTTTCTTTTTGTGGAAAGAGCTACCAAGTAGTCCAGAAATTCTCTAGGGATCCTGAGACCTCCCCCATTTCTTTGTAGTCAAAACTTTTTGAGCTACTTACTTGTCACTATTTACCTAAACAAAGAGCATTCTTCATAATGGTTCAAGGTGCTAGAATCACCTATATTCTCTCTCTGCAATATCCATTAATTCACCTGATTGTCTGCCTCATCTCTTTAGAACCCACTATCATTCTCCCTGCAAGGGGCAGTGGTGGGGGGAGTGGGGCTCACAGCTGCTGGATAGGCTTACCTGAGCATGCCCCGGTGTTCCTCATGCCACACCTGGATCCGCTCCTCCCACTGGTCCTTGTTGAGTTTGTGCTGCTCCAGGACTCTGGAAAGAAAGTGCAGGAGGGAAAGGAATCCCCCTTAGTTCTCTAAGGCATTGGTAAACATTTACAATTGACCCATTGAGGTTGTACACTAGACTCAAATTGAAATTAATAAAGATATTAAACATAAGGAACTGCCTAAGAAGTAGGATAGCTACAAAAGCAGATGGCCAAACCAGATGATGATGAGATTACCTTCTTTGTACCTGTAACAAAAAAATACTGTGCTGCAGTCTCTAAGCACAGTAATGTGTCATAAGTCCATGAGGACCTGAGAGGCTCAGAGTTGGGATGAAACTAAAAAAAAAAAAAACAGCACATTCTCCCCTAGATCCTCCTGGGACCAACATTTTATATTTAAAAGAATGCCATTCATGGATAAGAAGATGGATTTTGGATAAAGAACAGAGAACCAAGCCCAGATCTACTAGACTATAAACAAGGTTTGCTTTAAATATGCATTGCAGGCATCATGGCAATGACTCAGAGAGTTTTAGGGTACAACTAGTTTCCTTAATACACTCTGATGGGTTGTATACATGTTGCAGCTCCAATGGCATGAGGGAGCCCAGAATGATGCTTAGTTTTGCTTTCTAATCCAACAGCCTATGGAAATGAATATCACGTCACAGAAAAAAAATTCAGGGTTAAAAAAATCAATACTGGGAGCTGGGAAGGTGGCTCAGTGGTAGAGTGCTTGTCTTGTATGCATGAGGCCCTGGGTTCGATTCCTCAGCACCACATAAGCAGAAAAAGCCGGAAGAGGCGCTGTGGTTCAAGTGGTAGAGTGCTAGCCTTGACCTGAAGAACGCAGGGACAGTGCCCAGGCCCAGAGTTCAGGACCCACGACCAACAACAACAACAAATTCAATACTGGGGCTGGAAATGTGGCCTAGTGGTAGAGTGCTTGCCTAGGGTGCATGAAGCCCCAGGTTTTCTTCAGTACCACCTCAATACCACATACACAGAAAAAGCTGGAAGTGGTGCTGTGGCTCACCTGGTAGAGCACTAGCCTTGAGCTGAAGAACCCAGGGACAGTGCCCAGGCCCAGAGTTCAAGTCCTATGACCAACAACAAAAAAAACTCAATACTACGTGCTGGTGGTTCATACCTATAAATTCAAAAGGCTCAGATCTAAGGATGAGATTCAAAGCCAGCTTAAATGAGATGGGGCAACTCAATGCAAGTTCCTCTGTACCTCTACTTCCTAAGCCAGAGAATAAGGATAATGCCTGCTTTATTAGTTTCATGTATTGTCATAATGCCTAAGCAAAACAAAAAAATAACAGAACTTCTAATTTTGAAGTTTACAAAAACAGAGAAGTCTGTATACTGGTTATTAATATTAAAAGACTGTTTGAGCTCCCCATGTCCCTACCTTACGCATTTCTGTTTCCCCTGTGAACTTCTGAAATAAAAGATCTAAATCAGTGAAAAGGATAGAGAAAATAAGACCAGGGAGGGGGAAAAAATCAATCCATCTCTGGTTCTACATAAGCACCTGTCTCCAGGGTAATGAAGTTCTGTAACTAGGCAGAGAGAAAGAAAAAGGCTTTTTATATTGGGAGCTAGAAAAAAAAGTATGACACTATGTGTAAATATATCTTTTGGAGCATCAGAACCCAGTCTTCAGAGAGACCCTAGTGGAAAGAACAGATTTGGCAACCCCTGTGGAACAGGGATTAGTCAGCCTTGGGCTACAACCCCCTTTGACCAGGGTAAAGGAAGTCAGGGTACCACCTTACCTCTGGGGCAGCAACTTGTCTCCAGCCAAGTAGCCAGACTTGTGCACCTCCTTATTAAAATCACCATACTTGGACTGGACAGCATAGGAGGCCAACAGCACGGCAGTTTCAGGTGGGCAATAAATGTCATCATTGAGAATCCCCTCCTTCACTTGTAGAAAGAACAGGCGTTGAGTGATGTCCTGGATCAATTCCTCAGATACATCCTCAGGATAGAACTTGGCCCGGAACTTGAAGAGAAGGGGGCTTTCCTTCCGCACATCCTGTGCAGTCACCTGGGAATAGCAAGGAATTACAGGCTCTCAAAAATAGGCTTTAGTAAGCCAGACACTCATAGCTCATGCCTATAATCCTAGTGACTCAGAAGGCTGAGATCTGAGGATTGAGGTCTGAAGGCAGCCAGGGTGGAAAAGTCCGTTAGACTCTTCAATTATCCAGCAAAAACATGGAACTGGAGCTGTGCCTCAAGTAGTAGAGTGCTACTATTCTTGAGTAAAAAAGCCTTCAGTTCAAGTCGCTACTGGCACACATAAAAAAGGGAAAAAAAGGAAGCATCTATATGAGATCAGACAACAGTAGATCAGTGAGTGAAGGACAGGCTAAAGACATATCTTTAAGATCTTTGCTCAGTTTAAAAGTCTATGCCTCTTTTTGTACATCTTTATTGTTATTGTACAGAAGGGTTATAGTTATCTAAGTCACATAAAGAGTACATTTCTTTTTGCTATGCATCTCTTTTAAACAAATATAGCCCTTGAGTTTAAAAAAAAGAAAAGGATATCAATCCCCTTTTTTATATTTTTCCATGCTTAGGACTAAACTCAGAGCTCTGAATATGTTAGGGTCATGCTCTACCATTGAGTTACATCCCCAGTATACTAATTCTCTGTTGAAGAATCATTAATAGCTTTGGTCTAAAATAAGTCTTGGTCCTGGACATTCTTCTTGGTAGAAGTCAAAAGGGATAGAGACCAACATCTTTGCCATGGCTAAGTCCTCTGTTCTTCTTATAAAGGTGATTAATAGCCAGGCGCTGGTGGCTTATGCCTGTAATCCTAACTATTCAGGAGGCTGAGATATGAGGATTACGGTTCAAATCCAGTCCGAGCAGGAAAGTCCATGAGACTCTTATCTCCAATTAACAACCAAAAAACCAAAGTGGCACTGTGGCTCAAGTAGCAGAGCACTTGCCTTGAGCTGTAGAGCTCAGGGACAGCATCCAGCCCAAGTTCAAGCCCCAAGACCAACCAAAAAAAGCAAAGGTGATTAATAAACAACCCAATGACAACCAAAGCCATAAATATCCCAGATTTACTAGCTAGTACATTATCCCTTGAGCTCATTTTGTTGGGGGAAAGAATTCTAAACCCAAAAGAGGAATAACCAGTTACCTTCTTATTGAGTTTCAACCAAGTGGAAAAACCCTTAGTGTCCTGGTACTGCAGACCAAAGAACCAAACTTCCCGCAGGCCAATTGTTTTCACCACCTGGAAAAGAAAAGCCCCCCAAAACACTGGTTGAATACCTACAGTATGCCAGGCATAAAAGGCACAAGGTGGAGCCAATTTTGTCTCTGTCCTTAATAGGTGTTAAGAGCTCACGGTCTAGAAAGAAAACACACTTGTGCAGCAGTCAAAAATGTAATGTGCAGAATCTACACTTTCTTTTTTTTTTTTTTTGTCGGTCGTGGGGCTTGAACTCTGGGCCTGGGCGCTGTCCTTCAGCTCTTCAGCTCAAGGCGAGCGCTCTACCTCTTGAGCTACAGCACCACTTCCGGTTTTCTGGTGGCTTATTGGAGATAGGAGTCTCACGGTCTCTCCTGCCCGGGCTGGCTTTGAACCGTGATCCTCAGATCTCAGCCTCCTGAGTAGCTAGGATTACAGGTGTGAGCCACCAGCGCCCGGCAGAATCTACACTTTCTAAGAACGCATGATAGAAGACTATTTGGAAGCAGACAGATCAATGAAAAGGGGGAGAGGGACAAGACAGGGTAATGGGGGCAAATACGATCGAAGTACATTTTTACAAGCATATATGAAAGTGTCATAATGAAACCAAACCTATGATTTTGAACAATTAAGATATGCAGCTGGAGCTGGGCACTAGTAGCTCACACCTATAATCCTAACTACTCAGGAGGCTAAGAGCTGAAGATTGTGATTCAAACCCAGCCCAGGCAGGAAAGTCCATGAGACTGGTATCTCCACTAAAGCTACCAAAAAAGCTGGAAGTGGAGCTATGGCTAATCTTGAGCAAAAGCAGCTCAGGCCCTGAGTACCAGCAGCCCCTCCCACTCCCTAAAAATATGAAGGTGGAGCTAGAACTGGTGGTTCACACCTGTAACCCTAGTTACTCAGAAGACTGCAGATCTGAGGATTGAGTTTTGAAACCAGTCGTGGCAGGAACATCCATGACACTCTTATATCCAATCAACCAGCAAAAAGCTAGAAATGGAGCTGTAGCTCAAATGTAGAGCACCAGCCTTGAATAAGAAACCTAACGGACAAGTCCAGATATTGAGTTTAAGCCCTAGTGTACACAGACACAGACACAGAGAAAGGGGGGAGAGGAGGATATAGAGGTGGGGGGGAGGGAGATGCATCAACAGCTCTGCATTATTTAGGACAACCGTACCACACCAATAACTTAGCTCTATTACCTTCATTAATTTTTATAATAGCTCTATGATACAATTAGGCCCATTTTGTAGATAGCAAAAATGAATTCAGAAATAAAATGATTTATTCAAGGTTCAGACAGTGAGTGGCAGAGACAGGATTTAAACTAGTTCTATTTAACTCCAAATCCATTCAGATCCAGTGCTCTTTACCACCCCCTTTCCTCCCCCTATAGCACCATGTAGCTGTCTACTTCTACACAAATTATAGGCTTCAAGCAGAGATTACTGGGTTAACTCCTATATCCTGGTCTCCTGGCTTACTCCAAAATTTTGTCTTTATCTTTTTACGTTTACTTGCCTTTTTTAGTTTATTTATGTATTTATTTATATTTTGTTTATTTTGTAACTTTGAGTCTTTCTTTAGTATATATTTTTATTGTAAAGATAATGAACAGAGGGGTTACAGTTACATGAGAAAGGTAATGAGTATAGTTCCTATCCAGCATTATTACCTCCTCCTTTGTTTTTCCCCTACCATCCCTTCCCTCCCCACCTCCCCAATCCTCCCTCCCCCCATCCTCCTCCTTGCCAAAGTTGTAAAGTTAGTTTTCAATATAGTGTCTTATACATCTCATTGTTACAATGGGTCAACCTGTATCCTTATTTCAGCATTTTGTTATCTTTCCCCTCTCCAAATTAGAAAAGTGTATATACAAGATGCAGCGCACCAGAATCAAATACAGTGACAACAGGGGTTATATCATGGGGGAAGAACATACAAAAGAAACAAAACAAATCATATAATAAATTATAAATACATTTAAAACAACAGCAAGATAAAAATCTCTTGTGTCCCTATCTTGGGGTTCATTTCACTTAGCATCATCTTATATGGTCATATGTACATACCTTCTGACCTTTTCTGCTTGTCCTAGACATATACTAGTTATTGCAAATAAGGGAAACCATAGGACCTATGTTTCTTTGGGCCTGGCTTACTTCACTTAGTATAATTTTTTCCAAGTCTTTCCATTTCCTAACAAATGGGGTGGTGTCATTACTTCTGATGGAGGTATAGAATTCTATTATATATATATATCCCATTTTCTTGATCCATTCATCTACTGAGGGGCATCTGGGTTGGTTCCATATCTTAGCTATGGTAACAACAAATCCTCAAAGAAACAACTGCATGATTAATAAGTGGGCTAAAGACTTAAAGAGAAACTTCTTTGAAGAAGAAATAAGAATGGCCAAGTGACACATGAAGAAATGCTCAACTTCTGTAGCCACAAAAGAAATGCAAATCAAAACAACATTGAGATACTCCAGTTAGAATGGCAAAAATCAAGAACTTTAACAACAACAGATGCTAGAGGGATGTGAACAGAAGGAAACCCTACTGCATTGTTATTGGGAGTGTAAACTACTGGAAAGTAGTATGGAGGTTCCTCAAAAGACTACGCATAGAGTCTCCTATGACCCAGCAATCCCACTTTTGGGCATTTACCCAAATGATCACAAACAAGGCCATACTAAAGCTACCAGCACAACTATGTTTATCGCAGCATTATTTACTTGCCTTTTTTGTCAGTTGTAGGTTTTGAACTCAGTGCCTAGGTGCTGTCCCTGAGAACTCTTTGTGCCAAAGGCTAGCACTCTACTATTTGAGCCACAGAGCCCCACCTCTGGGTTTTGAGTCACTTATTGGTGATAAGAGTCTCACAGGAGCCAAATGCACTTATGGCTCACGCCCGTAAATCCTAGCAACTCAGGAGGGTGAGATATGAGGATTGTGGTTCAAAGCCAACCTAGGCAAGAGAGTCTGTGAGACTCTTAGCTCCAATAAACCACCAGAAAACCAGAAGTGGCACTATGGCTCAAGTGGTAGAGTGCTTGCCTTGAGCTGAAGAGTTGAACAGTGCCCAGGCCCAGACTTCAAGCCCTACAACTGACCAAAAAAGTCTCACAGGGACTTTCTGCCCTGGCTGGCTTCCAACCTTGATCCTCAGATCTCAGCCTCCTGAGTAGCTAGGATTACAGGCATGAACCACCGGCACCCAGCCCATACTTGCTTATTATAAGGGTTATTACAAAGGATATAGATTAACAACCAGAAAAAAAAGAGCTATCAAGGGTAAGTGACAGAAGGGGTGCAGAGTGTCTGTGTCCTCAAGCCATCTATCTCCACTAAAGTCTACATGTTTAGCTTACCTAGAAGCTCCCTGAACTCTGTCTTTAGGTTTTCACAAAAAATTTCTTATATGGAAATAACTGATTACATTATAAATCATTGGTATAATCAACTCAGCATCAGCCTTTCTTTATTTTCCTTTATCTTTAGAAACTGAGGGGTTTTTTTGGGGTGGGGGCCGGTCGTGGGGCCTGAACTCTGGGCCTGGGCGCTGTCCCTCAGCAATTCAGCTCAAGGCTAGTGCTCTACCACTTTGAGCCACAGCGCCACTTCCAGCTTTTTCTGCTTATGTGGTGCTGAGGAATCAAACCCAGGGCCTCATGCATGCAAGGCAAGCGCTCTACCACTGAGCCACTTTCCCAGGAGTAAATATCAGATGTTCAATGCTCACATCTGAATCTTATCTATTCATGAGGCTGAGATCTGAGGATTGCAATCCTAAGCCAGTAGAAGCAGACAAATCTGAGACATTAGAATCTCCAATTAACCACCCAAAAAAAGCTGGAAGTGAAGTTCTGGCTCTGGCTCAATGGTAGATAATCAGTCTTGAGTAAAAATCTAAGGGGCAGGGGCTGGGAAGGTGGCTTACCCTGCATGCATGAGGCACTGGGTTCGATTCCTCAGCACCACATAAGCAGACAAAGCTGGAAGTGGCACTGTGGCTCAAGTGACAGAGCGCTGACCTTCAGCTGAAGAGCTGAGGAACAGAGCCCAGACCCAGGATTCAGGCCCCATGGCCAAAGAAAAAAGAAAGCTAAGGAGCAGCGATCAGGACCTGAGTTCAAGCCTCAGCACTGGAGAAAAAGAGAGGAAGGGAAGAAGAAGAAGGGAAGATGGAAGGGAAGGGAAGATGGAAGGAGAGGGTAAGGGATAAAAGGAAAGAAATTGGGTGCAATGCCCCTGCACTTAAGACTCAACCTCATTTACAATACCCCAAGCAAGAGCATTTCAGAAGACAAAGCAAGCTCTGTAGAAACTATATTTCAAAGCTATGCTGTTCCTGGGTGCTGAGAAGCTTTGTGTTGGCCCTAGTCAGACATTAGTTATAATTCCTCTTACTACTCTCAGGTTAAGAGTAGAAACAGAGACGGTAGCTCGGTGAATTAGCCTAGGGGCCCTTTGGTTCCCTGGGCCTCCTGGCTGAGCAGTGGGCAGGAAAGGGAGCTCTGCCAGGAAAAGACAGTCAGGGTCTGTTCTCTAGTTTCTGACATCAGCATGTTAATGGTCAGGCTGTCAGCTCCACCCCAGCATGCCCCCAACTGGGAGCAGAGTTAACAGCAGTAAACTGAGCCACATCCTAATGAGGTCAGGGACATTAAGCACTTCCTATCTTTTCTATTTTTTCAGGGAAGGAGATGGAAATGGAGGTGTTGGGGGAGGTCAGTAGAGAATCTAAAAGATATAACCTGATAGAAGCAAGGAAGGACTAACAATTATGTCCTTCTCTGTGAGCAAATTTATCTCTCTCTCTCTCTCTCTCTCTCTCTTACACACACACACACACCCCACACACACACACCTTCATTACTGCCACAAAGTCTCTACTATGCACTCAAAGACTAGTACCACATTTGGCACCCAATGTTTCAGAGCCCCAAAGAAATACGAGCTCCTGGAAATGTGACTTATTGGTAGAGTGCTTGCCTAGCATGCATGAAGGCCTGAGTTCAATT